TGCCTGGCTTGAAGAGCAGGAGCCGTGCTGTCCGCCCGACGGACCACTAAACAAAGCGATTAATTATATCCTGAACCGGCGCGATGAACTGAGCTGCTTCCTGAGTGACGGAGCCGTGCCCCTGGACAACAATATCTGCGAGCGTGCTATCCGCCCGGTCGTTATGGGACGAAAGGCCTGGTTGTTCGCCGGTTCACTGATGGCCGGAAACCGCGCGGCACAGATAATGAGCCTGCTGGAAACGGCAAAACGTAATGGTCTGGAGCCACATGCCTGGCTGACAGACGTCCTGGCGCGTCTGCCGGAATGGCCAGAGGAGCGACTGGCAGAGTTGCTGCCCCTTGAGGGATTTACCTTCTCCGGGTGAGTGATACCTGTCGTCAGGTGTTCTTGCAGCGTGCCATAATCTGCAGTCGGGAGTTGAACGCCTGACGACAGGAAATGAGCCAGGCCAGCAACCACGCGGGCTGACAGCGAATCAGAACCTGAATCAGCCCGGAGCCATTCCCGGGGCTGTACTTCATCACCTGCCATCAGTACCCGTGTCAGTACTTCGCGACCTGACGCAATTACCCGACTCAGTCCTTCAGAACCCGTCTCCGATACCAGCCTGGCGCTCGCCCCTGCGCAAGCAAAATAAATCGACCATTGTCAGACTGCGATCATTCGTATGCACCGCCGATGACGCGCCCGAAAACACGTCAATATGAGTTCGCCGGAATATTACGGAAGAAGAACGCAAGGAAAAACTCAGGAGGCTTCTTGCTGAATGGCGTAAGCAAGAAAACTTGACAGAAGCGCAAGTTGCCAGACGAATGGGTGTTACTCCTCCGGTTATCACTCGCCTGGAAAACAACATTACCAAAGCAAACATTGATACACTGACTCGTTATGCTCATGCGTGCGGTATAAAAGTCTGTAATTACCCTTTATTGAAGGAAGGGGGAGCCAACACTCCATACATTACGAAAATGCCAATTTCCTGTGTGAACTGGCCGAAAGTCTGTTTCGTATTTTGCCTGAAGTCAGTACAGACAAGTCTGCACTATTGCAACGCCTCGCTAATGAAGAACTGGCAAGGGCTGAATATGACGAACAAGTACGAGCAAAGGTTGCCGTAACTCGCGCCGATAAGTGGCCGGGAATGAGTACAACGCAACTGCGCCAGCAATTACGGGAGTGTTATCAGGAGCTGCGCCATGAGCTATGAAATAGAATGGTGACCAGGTGCGATCGAGAATATGACGGCGTTGTTTGAATATCTGGTCGAGAATGCCTCTCTTTGGGATGCAGGGAATGTGACAGAGCGTCTGATCGCTGCAACCGAACGCCAGATGGATTCCTCCCGTCTGTACGAAACGGATGAACGCTATGGTGAAGGGGGACACCGTATTAGTTTACTTGGACAGCACGTACTTTTCGAAGTGAATGATGAGGCCCGTCGTGTCAATATCCTGGCGGTTGTTGGCCAGCTTCAGAAGCCCCGATTTATCCTTTGAGTCGCTTGGTGCTTTGGTTACCGGACTTTCCTCTTGCCGGGAATTACTGTCTCAACCTTTCAACCGATAAATAAGGTATAAAACCGTAAGTTTCATTCAAATGCTCACACTGTTCTCAAATGGGGGGAGTTTGGAGATCGGTATCTAATATGGCTTCTGTAATATCGGTGACTGCAATTGTCATATCAGTATGTGTTTACACAGAGGGCAAGACGGTGCGGAAAACTCAATTACTTTGGCGTTACACTCAGGACAAACGTAGATTAATGCCGATTGAGTATCTGAAATACAGTCATACATTTACCATCTGAAACAGAAAAATTCCCACAGTCGGGGGGAGAACATTGAATATCACTCATAGTTATCACCTCATTCGTTTGCTGGCAAGATTATACACGTCACTACGTTCACGTTTACCTACAGCTACAACAGCGATAATTAATTCAGCGTCAATAACCTGATAAACCAGCCGGAAGCCAGACGCACGAAGTTTAATTTTGTAGCAATCCTTTATTCCGCGCAGTTTTGCTGAAGGGATATGTGGATTTTCACAGCACTTCTTTAGCTTTTTAGCAAACTGCTGCTGAATAGCCTTATCCAGTTTTTGCCACTCTTTCAGCGCATCATCCCTGAATTTGACTGTGTAAGTCATAAGTAGCTATCCAGATCAATATCGTGCAGTTTCTGGTTGCTGCGTTCGGCGACCAGCTTAACCAGTTCCTGATCGTCCAGGGCATCGAGCATCTTTTCGTACAGCTCTGCGGGGACACAGTAAAAGGCGGGCTGGTTGCGGTTCAGAATAGCAACTGGGTAGCCATCACCAGCACTGACTGTAGCCATCGGGTTTTTCTTAAGTTCGCTTACACTGGCGCTTGTGTCGGTAAGAATGATGTTTGGCATGAAAGTATCCTTGAGACTGTTTAATCAGTCTTAAAGTTACTCCATAAAAGACCTGTTAACAAGTCTTTTTATCATTTTACGTAC